CCGATATACATTCTAAAAGGTACAACTTCTTTAGGTGCTGTCTCTGAGTATATAGGTAACCCATGCTCCCGGCATGTATCCATAGATCGCCAATTACCCAGGCTGTGTACGTTTTATGAATTAATCTTTCATGCCTTAGTAAACCAGTTTTTAAATGTTTCCTGGCCTGTTTGTTTCTTTGTATATTTAACATGGCAGTGCTGTTGACAGAGGACAGTCCAAGAGTCTAGCCGTCTGGAATCGCTGTAGTTGGAATGCTAGGACATGCTCCACGGTTTGTTCTTCCTCTTAACAATGTGGACTGGTTGGGACTTGTTTATTCTGGCCATGATGGCTTGGAGATATCCTTAGCCAAGGTTATTTCTGAAGAGTTATTTGAAGAATTAAATCAGTGCGCAATAAAAACAATTTCCTTGTGGAATAATGGAGTCCACTTCAGGGCGTCGGACAGCGACGGCTCGGATGACTGTAAACAAACAAGCCCCAGCTGCACCAGCCGGAAGATAAAAGAGGGAGCGCAGCATCCAGCCTGGTCTGCCACCACACCAGTTGGGTGTTTTCCTCTGTCCTCTTAAGATGTTTTTAATAAAGTTAGTTTGAAGGATACTTTTACCCTCTCCTTTCTGCTATTTAGTGATCTGATTTAAATCCTTGCAACAGCCCACAAAAGAATCATCACTGCGAATTATTCTACCGAATTTCGCATCAGTGTTTTGTGAAACGATTACCCGATATTTCTTCACATCCTATTTCGAATATTATTGTGTAAAAAATGATAATTCAAAGAGAATTTAGATATTGAAATACACTCATGGACATAACTTAAGGAGATAGAAAGTCTTTGATGCCACCTGTCATCTACTTTATTTTTTTTATTTTTTGGGAGACAGAGGCAATTTTATTTACACTTGTTTATCTCGTGTGACTTCACTAAAGGTCAGTGTGCATCAGGTATATTTCAGAGTTATTGTCTAAATCCCGATATACATGCTAAAAGGTACAACTTCCTTATTTTTGTCCATGAGTGTATTTTATATACACCTATCCCCCGATTTACACGGTAGATACGTTCCTGAGAAAAACGTGTAAATCGAAAATTAAAAATTTTCGCGAAATTTTTATGCGAAGAAATACAAACACAGTGTGCGTGTGCAGCAAGTCAGCACATAAGCTCGGGATTCCTCGTGAGATGTGTACACAGCGCATGTGTTCAATCACAGTAGCATTTAGTATAGTGCGATAAAAAAAAAACTTATTTGGAAAACCGTGTAAAAGCGAAAACGTGTAAAACAAGTACCGTGTAAATCGGGGGATAGGTGTATTATATTAATTGATAATTTAGAGAGATTTAACGATTAGTTTGCATCTATAGATGGATGCATTGAGAAATGTTTTAAAGTATCCAATATACCGTCCTCTGAGAGACAGTTTTTCACCATATGTTGCCTTCACATCACCGGCAGCTGTGAGTGAGAGACAACAACGTCCATATGGCTTAGATCCTCCTCTCACTCGATACAACTGTGAAGTCTGCACTTGTAACTCCTGTGCTTCCTGATGTGTCCTTCATCAACCATATGACTTCTCAACTATTCTCTACTCACTGTCACAGAATAATCTGTGGTGCCTACTCGGTGATCATCATCATGTCACGTGACTCTAAGTCAGCGTTTTATTCGTAAATTGTTTGTTTTGCTCCAGGATTCTGGGCATGAAAAACATAAACTTTGGTTAGCCTGGTTCAAATCACATTAATAGGTACCGCTCAGCAAGAGCAACCTAGTTCATGATAATTGAAACAGTGAATAATATATGAAGGTTATTCACATATTAAACAATTTTTAACGCGGGATTCAATCCCGGTTCATGACTAGGGCCTCCAATCCCGGTACATATTTTCAATCCCGGGATTCGGGATTGCTTTTTTCTCAATCCCGGGATATCCCGGGATTGAAAAACATTTTCGTCTTTCTACGCCAAGAGGTATATCGTTTCGTTCGTTATATTTTTAATTTTTTCTTTTATATAGTGCCAATGACGTGGCACTTACTTCGATGAAAACAACCTGAAAGTCATATATTTTGCGCCTGCTTATGAACTAAATCATTGCTTTTGGGTTACAGTTTGAAATTATCTGTCAATTACTGTACACACATCTGGAAAAAAATTACTGTTCTTGGAACTCTTAAACCACATCTCTTAATGCAGTGTTGGGCAGTAATCCATTCAAAGTAATACATTACCTTGTAATTACGATTACTTTGCAATGCATTACTCTGCAAAGAAAATTAATTGCATTAGAATGTAAACATAATTACTCGTAATTCAATATATAATGATAGCAATTGTGATTAAAATTACTTGTAATTGTAATTATAGCAAATGTAATCATGATTATTTGCAATTGTGATTATAGAAAATGTAATCATTATTGCATTTTGCCCAACTATTTATTAATGTTCAGAAAGAAGACAGCACCGTTTTAAAAACCATGAATTACTTTATTTTAAGGATAAAAATACAATTTCGAGAAAGATTTGAGCGTAGGAAAGATAATTTGTCAAGAGTGTCATCATGCAAACTAGAACGTATCTTATTGCATAGGTATCCAGAGGAGGAGAAGACTCTTTCCGATTCCACAGACGTTGGAGGAATTGTCAGCAAGTATTGATACACACTTTCAAAATGGGGTCCTCGTTTGCCTGACTGCGCAGCAATATTAAGTTCGTGGTTAATCATAGTTGAGTAGGATGCGAAGTCTGGTGTAGGTATTGCAATTGAAGTTGAAGAGGCAGCAGATAGAGGTTAGTGGCGGGTCCATGTTAAACGCAGGTCCGCCACAAAAATAAAGGGCTGCCGCAACTATCTAAGAAGCCACTATTTGCATGTCAACAAAATATGGGGCCCCCTCCATGTATAATGCTGCATACTCTCATTCTAGAGGCTGCCATTTTGGAAAGATATTGCAGAATAACCCTTCGTTATTAGTGCATGAAAATGATTTCAAATCTCTCAGAAAAAAAAAAAAATACCCAAAATGCAGCTGTATAAACAAAACGTCAAAAGTGTGCTATCTCATCATCTGTTTGATTACCAAAATGCTAGATAAGAAAAATATATTTTTGCGCTGGTTTTCATGCACAAACCAGTAATCCCGGGATTTTTCGAGCAGAATCCCGGGATTTCGGGATCATTATTTGGCTACGGGATCCCGGGATTGGAGGCCCTATTCATGACTGTCGGGAATCGAGCGTGTTACCCTCTCATCCACCGACTGTTATGTTTGGTTAGTAGCCCGTAAAACAATATTCTCCCTCTCTCTCTTGTTCCAGAAACCTGGGTTATAAATATCTCTCTTTGTAAATTGTTTGTTTATATATGTCTCAATGAATGGTTTATGGGGGGAATTGTTGTTACATATCGCTCGGCAGACATTGCACGTGTGCATCCTGAAACAGACCCTACCTGTCCTCACTGTTCAGAAGAGCCACAGACAGTCGATCATCTTCTCTTCAGCTGTCCAGTATTCCTGAGACATAGGATACAAACAGCTATCCTGTTTGGACTGACCCACCTCAATCCTAGATCTATGGCCAGCCTTCCAGACTCAACCTCAGCGTGGAACTTCCTGATCAACTGGTTCAACTCAGCAATCAAAACAGGACGTGACATTGCACATGGTGCAATTCTTAACCTGAAACCCCAAAACACATTATTGACTGTATTGACTTATCCATTGATGAGATCTACTCTTCCCCGGCAGACACCATCAAAAGTCTCAAGCTTCACAAGCTTGACACCCTAATATGACAATAGTAGAGCGGTCTAGAGATTAATTTGGCGAAACTGCTGAGAGGGTTCACTACTGATGAGCCAAGCCCTCTCATTCAATAACTCATATCATTGCAGTAAGGTCTGTAGAGATAATATTTGATGATATTTAAAAGAAACGCATTGCTAGTAAATTTATTTGTGTAAAATTTTAACGATAGATGGCAATAAAATTTAATTTACTAATAAGAAAGAAGAAGAACAGGATATCAGTAAAAGCACATTGCACTAGTCCATTTTAAATTGACATTGAATTGACTATTTATTTGGATTTGGTCTTATATTACCTTGTAAATTATTATTATTTAAAAATGAATTTAAATAATTTTGAATAGAGTAATCGGTAAGGAGCCCTACTTCCTCTTCTTCTTTCTTATCTCCACTCAATCACATTAGGATATCAAGTTGTGACCCTTGATGGTGTCTGTTTGACAACCACCATTACTGGGTGAAGTAGAATGCATCTGCCTTTATCATTAAGACTGGAAGCAGCTGCTCAGTGGCAGGCCGACTTAGTTAGAAAAGAAATGGCCGCCTCTGACATGAGGAACAGACGCCATGTGCAGCTGCTCCTAACATGGAGTACAGACACTGCTCATCCTGTATCCCTGGATTAGGAGCCCTTACAGGGTACTATCAGCCAGGCCAGCTGAACCTAGGTTTTTTAGTGAGCTTGTTACTGCTCCCCCTCCTCCTTTTTCATATGGGCTTGGGACCGGCAAAGGAGGAGTTCCCCCTACTTCCTGTAGATGATAACATGAATCCCATGACACCACTGATATCAACACTTCTACTGTAAATAGCAGATTGCTCAGTCTACCTTGACATTTGTACAACAAGGAAGATTGGAAACAAAAAAGTAACAATACATATTTTTGAAATTGATAAAGCACAATTTGGATTATAGATTATAAACACAAGGTAATAAGACCAAATCCAAATAAATAAATAGTGTGTGACGTTTCGGTAACAGCGTTGTTACCATCTTCAGACAAAAGTACTGAATGATTGTAGTAGTAGTAGACAGTACTTTTGTCTGAAGATGGTAACAACGCTGTTACCGAAACGTCACACACTATTTATTTGGATTTGGTCTTATTACCTTGTGTTTACAAATTATTGAAATGTTTGTTGTTTCGGTAACAGAGTTGCTACCATCTTACGGAATAAGCTTACAACAGCACACAGTGTTCCAAAGTGGTCACCCTCCCAACTACTGACCAGGCCCAACATTGCTTAACTTCAGTGAACATACGAGAACAGGTATAAGTTTATGATAAGGCACAATTTGGATTATAGAATATAAACACAAGGTAATAAGACCAAATCCAAATAAATAGTGTGACATTTCGGTAACAGCATTGTTACCATCTTCAGATAAAAGCACTGAATCATACTTTTGTCTGAAGATGGTAACAATGCTGTTACCTAAACATCACACACTATTTATTTATTTGGATTTGGTGTTATTACCATGTAAGTATAAGTTTATCCCAATTGTACCTTATCAAAGTTGAAAATAGTTACACCTTGTATAAAAAATAACAATTATTTTAAGACTTACCTGCTCTGATGTTGTCTACAATACAGCTAGAGATCAATCTGGTTGAGACAATATTAAAAGAACATGAAGGTACAACAAAATAACACAGAAATAAATAAATATTAGATCAGAATAAACACAAGGTAATGATAAGCCACAATTTGGATTATCTTTATTTGTTTAAATCTCTTTTTAAAAATCATTTAAAATGCAGTAACAATCATTAGCGAACACATGTTTGTCTAATATTTCCATATGCTCCTTTATTTTTTTACAGAAAAATATTTACATGCCAGTATTTTGGATTAATTTTTTTTATGAACCTATTTTTTTAAATTCTTACTGAGATGGGCATCGCAGTCAGGATTCTTTACAGTCAGTCACTCAACTCAGGCAATTTCAAAGGTTAATGGGGGTTTGGTGGAAAAGCTGCCGTCTATTTAAACTATATTAATTTTGAAACAACTAAATGGATTGCAAAAAATAATTAAATCAAATACCTAAACACTAATATAATACAATTTTTGCCATTACACACTTTTTTTCATGTAGTTTATGTGTTTCTTCTGTTTTGCTATTCTATGGCACTTCTACTATTTATTATTGATGTACTTTCAGTATGAAGGATACTTCACTCTGGGGATTTCTCGGGCGAAGCCGGGTCATTCTTCTAGTAATATATAAACACAAGGTAATAAGACTAAATCCAAATAAATAAATAGTATGTGACGTTTCGGTAACAGCATTGTTAGAACACCATCTATTGACCATGGTTTTAAACCAACTATTTTCTTCATTTTGATGACATTTTCTTTATTAGGTACAATTTGGATTATAGACACAAGGTAATATAGGCAAATCCAAATAAATAGTGTGTGATGTTGCAGTAATAGCGTTGTTACCATCATCATTGATTCAGTAGTTTTGTCTGATGAAGATGGTAACAAAGCTATTACCCAAATGTCACACACTATTTATTTGGATTTAATCTTATTACCTTGTATTTAAACACAGGGTAATAAAACCAAATCCAAATAAATTAATAGTGTGTGACGTTTGGGTAATAGCGTTGTTACCATCTTCAGACAAAAGTACTAAATGAGAAATTTTACCACAGCATGTTTTAACTTTTTTAAACTTTTTTACTTGATAACATTAACTATTTAAAACATAAATCAATAACGCGCCATCTATATATATAAAATGAAAGGATTTAAAAGCACGAATGTTTCTTTTATACATAATACAAACTTCTACTGTCCTTACTGCGATGAAAAAATATATTGGGAGGGCTTGGCTCATCAGTGGTGAACCCTCACAGCGGTTTCGCCAATTTAATCTACCAGACCAGATGCAAATATTTGAATGTAATTCTACTGTCCTATAAGCTCATGTCCATAGTTTTCTTGAAAACCATTTCTGAGATTCCATCCTTCAGTGCTGCGTATATAAGCAGAATCGTCCAATACAATATTAGAGCTCTGAGAAGCGGTCTGGTAGATTAAATTGGCGAAACCACTGGGAGGGTTCACCACTGATGAGCCAAGCCCTCCCAATATATTTTTTCATCGCAGTAAGGACAGTAGAAGTTTGTATTATGTATAAAAGAAACATTCGTGCTTTTAAATCCTTTCATTTTATTTAAAACGTGCTGTGGTAAAATTGATCATATTCAGTACTTTTGTCTGAAGATACTTTTTTATTTTATTTGACATATCGGACGCGATATCCCAGCTCGGGATACTTGCGCCTAAATACATTTTAGTAGATTATATACAATTCATTTTATACAATTTAATAACCGGACTAAAAACATAATTAAAACTTAAACGATGGCACTCTAAAACAGAAGAGAAAATCCAAAATGGATTATTTTATCAACCTATATACAACTCAATAACCGACTAAAAACACAATTAAAACTGAAACGATGGTTTTCTCAAACAGAAGAGAAAATCCAAAATAAATTATTTTAGCAACCTATATACAATTCAGTATATACAACACAATAACCGGTTAAAAACACAATTAAAACTGAAACTATGGTTTTCTTAAACAGAAGAGAAAATCCAAAATGAACTTACAAAAATTATTGAATTTTACATAAGTGTCTTTGTTATATACAAATTCGCAAACCTCTTCGATGGGATAAAAATGATTACTTCTGTAGCTGTGGAATATCGGACATTCCATCAATAAATGCATTGAGTCTTGGTTTTCTTTTCCACAGAAACAGCTAGGATCATCCGTTGCCCCGATTTTCGACAGAAATTCTCCAAAATTACCATGACCCGTGACGAACTGTGAGTTATAAAAATTCGGACGAAAATAAAAAGGAATTCCAAATGGGAAAAATTTTCTGAATGTTTCATTAGTGTTAGCTATTGTTTCAGCCATTCTTGATTCTATGAAGTTATGAATTATAGTCGGGGCATGCGGTCTGAATACATTAATTTCTTCTTTTGATAAATTGGCCAAATCGTATTTTATTATCAACGATTCTATTTGATCTGTGAGAATAGGTATTTTTGCCAAACTATGAATACAATTTGATGAGGTCGTTTTATAGGCTCTCACTACCCAAAGAAGAATCTGATATTGCTGAGAGTTTAATCTTTGCTTACTTCTTTTATTAATAAATTTATACCATATTTCAGATCCATAGGTTAGTATTGGCCTGAAAAGAGTTTTATATAAAATTAATCTTTTTTTAGCATCCAATCCCCACATCTTCCCACAGAGCGAAAACAAAAGATTTTTCATACGGTTGATTTTACAAAGAATATCATTAATGTGGGGTGTGAAGTTAATTTTTGACTTAATTCTGTGATTAGAAAATTTTATACCTAAAATTTTTACCTCTTCCACTGGTTTTATTATGAAATTTGGAGTTCCCATTGGAATATTTTGTTTGCCGTGCATATGTATTAAGCCGGTTTTCTCCGGGCTTAGCTTTAGCTTATTTCTTGTACACCATTGTATTACATAATTTAAAGTTCTTTCTGTTTCATTTTTTAACCCTTCTATGGTCTTGTGCCAGCAAACAATCGAAACATCATCCGCATAACAGATTATTTCAGAATTTGGGGATGCGAAGTTGATCAACAAATCATTCAGGACTATATTCCACAATAAAGGTGATAATGGTCCGCCTTGAGGACATCCCTTTGATAAATATTTCGAAATTGTTGTATTCGAGAAGGTGAGACTTGTTTTTCTTCTCCGATTTAAAAATGATTGGATAATTTTTTGGTAACAACGCTGTTACCGAAACGTCACGCACTATTAATTTATTTGGATTTGGTCTTATTACCTTGTGTTTATAATCCAAAAATTGTATCTAATAAAAAAAATGTCATCAAAATGAAGGAAAGAAAACAGCTGGTTTGAAACCAGGCTGATAGTTTAGCAATCCTAGCACCGTACTCTAATTCATGGTCAATAGATGACGTTATAATCATCAACTAAAGAAACAAGAAAATAAAACCAAATCCAAATAATTTAATAGTGTGTGAGGTTTCGGTAACAGCATTGTTACCATCTTCATTAGACAAAAGTACTGAATCGATTATGATGGTAACAACACTGTTACCGAAACATCACACACTATTATTTGGATTAGGTCTTATTTTCTTGTAGCTATAATCTATAATCCAAATTGTGCTTTATCATCAACTAAATAAATTATTCTGATGTCACTATATGGAAGGGATATTTTGACCTCCTCAAAAAGTTTCATTATCATCAAATGGCACAGCAATCTCTGATGTGAAGGTTGGGCATCATGGAATGCCACTTTACCTTGCTCCGAGCAAATTTTCCTCACATATTTGCATATTTCAGTATTCATGATAAAATTGTGAAAAAAAGTATTAAAATTACAAATATATTCTCACAATAAGTATATTTTTTATTTAAAAAAACGCTAGCTTTCAAGCGTTAATCGCTCTTCAACGGGCTTACTATAATATCGACTTGATCCCACCAGAAATATTTACAAAAAACAAACGCGCGCAGCGTGGATATTTATAACTGAAAATTTTTAAATATTTCTGGTGGGATCAAGTCGATATTATTGTAAGCCCGTTGAAGAACGATTAACGCTTGAAAGCTAGCAGTTTTTAAATAAAAAAGATACTTATTGTGAGAATATAATTGTAATTTTAATATTTCAGTATACAGTATACCCTCCCTTTAGTGGACACTTCACTAGAGGACACCTCTCTATAAAGGACAGTTTTCATTTACAAAATTATCATTTTTACTATTTAGCAGCTCTCCGGTAAGAGGATGCCTCTCCTTAAAGGACATTTTGGCTTTGTAATTAGGTGTTGTCCTTTACAGGGAGGTTCTACTGTATTTATATATTGGCTAAAAATACCTCTTCACAGATTTCTAAAAAGAAGCAAGTGTCTTGATCATTTATAAATGGTTGATTGAGATACAGGTGTTCTGGTGGGAGTCAACAGTACTGAAATGTGCACATGACTAGCATTCCATAATTTTTCAAGAAAGAATATTTAGTGAATATTTATTTCCTTTCAAATAATATACATACGGTAACAAGACCAAATCTGGGGGGGGGTCGTTTGAAGGATGGTTAAACCGTTTGGTTTTCAACCACTAAGACCCGGGTTCGATTCCAGCATTAGACACTTTTTTCTGTTTAAAAAAAAATGCTCCAATGGCCCCCGATTCTTGCAAAAGTTCAACCCCACCAGCGAGTGCAAGTAACCAAATGG